GGTGATGAAGCTCATACGGGAAATTACCCTCTGCCTCTAATTGAAGAACATTGAACATTGTCAAATGACTCAAATGCATAAGCGATTTGACACCCGTTTTGAAACAGGTATTATGTCACTCTAACGTTCATGGCTGGCCATGTTTAATCCCGGATTCTGACTGACCATTATCTTGTGCACAAGGGTGGGTGTTCATCCGAATCGCGATTGTTTGATCTGTTGACAGTGAGCAATGCTTGACGTGCTTTAATCGCACTGCGATGATCGTGTAGATGGGTCTGATCGCTTTGCTCATTCCGGCACGATGTTCCATTTTGATCAAGTGAGCTGTGATTACGGTCCCACCTATTCTTCTCCATCCGCAAATAAGCCAGTTAGGGTGGTGTTCTCGAATGTGTTCTGAGAAGAGTCGGGGCGTAAGATCAAAAAAGTGGCTCCACAGGAACTCCTATTCACGCTTTACTATATCTCCCATACACACACACGCATACACACATGCAAGATCTACTTATTTATGTTCCCTTTACTAGTACGATTTTGTGCTCAATCAGAGCTTGCTCCTTTTGGCTAGTAAATGATACACCGGAAACAAGCTTCTTTGGCAACTTAGCATTTCGACTACTAATGAAACAATCTAATTAGCATGGAGTAAAACATTGTTTTCCGAGAGTCTTCATCAGATTTTAGTATATCGCTTTAGTGAAAAATTGAACCTTTTATCTGTTGTTTCGGTTGATGATTAGCCGATACGCTTGAACGATTAAGAAAATTCGCTGTCAACTAAAACTATGTAATGAAGGCAACTAAAATAATCCCACATGCAGGTAAATCACACCTCTCGTATCTGTGACGTGGAGTATATGAGATGCACAACTACGTGGTGGCCCAAAAATGGGGAAACAAACTAAATATTTTTGTTTTAAAAATACGCTGTGTGAACAAATGTTGAAATGGTTCTTAGAAGCATGAAAACTAAAACGGACACAGCATGAAACATCCATGGATTTCTGATGCGTTCCTCTGAATCATTTGATCGTAAAACTGCCACGGTAACCGAAACGGCCGGGAATACAATTCTTCACCGACATCGCTGTGTTATAAACATTATAACATTCACAAAACAAATGAGACCTCGGTAATCAATAATCCTTGTAGGATAAGAAACCTCTGTGAAGGGATATTGCCAGTAAGTGTTTGAGAGATGCAGTTTTTAGCATACTTGAGTTTATGTGTTCCGCCATCTTAAACCACAGTCGGGCTCAGCGCTCTGACACAAACAGACATAAATGCATACTATTTTTCATTTGTCAAAAATTCACAGCATACATACCCTTACGCCCGGTTGATCAAGCAGATAACATCTCAACCTTAGATGCTACCGACAGATAAATATTCTTTTTGAGTACAAGCGAAAATCCCATTCCTAAAGGCCCCGATTCCTAATATCTAATACCAATTTGCCGCCGTACAGTAACTGGCTAGTTAGACTGTTTGAGTAGCTTTCAACCATTAGAACTGACCGTGCGGAGCTCTGTACCATTAACTATTGCAAGAATATTTGAAACGGAATCTCCGTACTTTTCAAACTCATGAATATTGATTATTTGCGAGGGTACAAAATGTTAAAGAAGGTTGTTTCAACAGACGGGATCGACTGAGAAAAGAACTAATAGTTTAACAAGTAATGGCATATGATCGAAATTAATGGATCAAATACGTTACCTTTGGGAAGGAAAATGAGAGAGAGAGATAGGGAATTTCATTGTCTCTGATAAAAACAGTTGAGTCTTAGTCGTTAACGAAAATATGGATGTCTTCCTCGTCTTCTATCCATCGACAATTATTGATTGTAGATTGATTCTTCCAAATAATCTATGTTTTGTTCTTCAGAGTGTTTGCACTTTTTTGACACTTCATCATGTACAGAAGGATTTCAACAATCTCATCGATATTCGCAATTGATGTTATATCTGTACGTTGCATCTACTAAGAAAAGGAAAGGAAAAGGCATATAATATAATACTGAACAAAATACGATCTGTTGAATGATTAGTTAACTCTTTATTTCGTGTGCTAATTTCCACACAAGTGCGACTCACAGTTGAATAGTGGATTAGAGTCAATCGTGTTTGTTTTGGTTCTTACACGAATATTCCACACCACTTTGTGAACCTTCATCAATCAACTCAAGCCACTAATTTACACTATTTGATCCATCAGTGAACACTTTTTCAGTTTTCTCCCAGGAATGCTTTGACTGGAGGGGCTTTTTAAAGTCAAATTAGGAATAAAATTACTAGTTGAGTTAAGAGGCCATATCGATATCATGGATGTTCTCACATTCTAAATCACCCATCCAACTCACAGAAGTATATGGCATCCATCAGGTAACATGTAAGCCGGCTGCCGTTACAGGTTTTCCTTAGACTTCACCGCAGTCTGACAAATGAATTTCTGAGTTTTGGTAAATCGTTCAAATTGTTGTTTAGCAGATTGAAGTTTTACTCTGAAAGAGTAGGCCGCGCTCACGGGTGGGTTCGAATCCCAGCGAGGACACTGAACTTTTCAAAATTTCGACATGATTTGCAAATCTCAATCAGTTCTGATAGGGTTCCGTAGAACGACAATATAGGGAACCGTATAGTTTTATTACATCGTCATCGGGGTATGCAGCTGCTTGAAGGTGATTCAAGCGGGTACATAAATCTGAAAAGGTTTTTCCAAGGGTTAAAATGCTGGGATCGGTCACGGTTGCTTCAGGTGGATATGGATATTATATTGGTTGTGAACAGCACTTCTGCATTTTTTGTGCAATTTCGCGTTATTGCTGCAGTTTTGAATCGCCAACGATCACATCATATATTTGGCGGTGAAATCGCATAATGCAGTTGGGTGGTTTTGGACATAAAGAGCAAAGACGGCCCCTTTGGACCTATTTAAGAAGTGGGCGTGAATTTTTGAAGAGCGCCTAACCTTAAAATCCACCTGCGGGTTAGCAAAATAGTCAAGCATCAATCGGGAAAGGATGAAGGTCATGATATACTGGGTTAATATAGCGAACAGTTTATATTATATCAAAGATAAGAAGAAACTTAGACAACGGTTCTTTTTGTATTTGTATTTTGTGGTCTGAGAGACCAGCAACGGCTTCTAGAAAATTTGATTTGACAGGATAATAATACACCGAGTTAGTTTATCGATGTTATTTTTTTATGACTGGGAAAGCAATTCCCACGTTTATTTATTTATTGTAAAACCTGTGGTAGCACGATCAAGTCCAAGGTCAAATTTATAAAACTGACACGTAGAGTCCGCATAGAATTATATGAAACGGGGATTCCTGTAGAGTTATTTCCTTGTTTTAATAACTCATCGGTTGTGTGCGCTGCTCTTGTGTAGTAGACTGTAGTGCAACAGTGAATGTGCCGTTTAAGAGTTCGATCCCTCACCTATAAGATACTGGACCGATAACCAACGCTTTAAGTAGATGTAAATATGATTCAATTTTCATGGCATTCACAGACACAAGGGTTGGTTCCACTGCAGATAAGTTACATCAAAACGTGCGAGACCCCCAACTCCAATCCACTGAAATAACACTATGCTTAAGTCTTGGTGCTTGTGGAACCGTAATTACCCATGGATATTTAAGAAGCTGCGCATTTAATCGATGGAAAAGAATATTCTGGAGTATTCGTAAGCTCCTGCAATGCAAACATCTCTACTCTGCAATGTTTTCCATTGAATAATATTCCACTTGACAATTTGACATTTTTGGGTCAAATTTACCCAATGTCATCTTTGTGAGTAGTACATTCAGAACAGTCTGGTACTGCACTGTATTTGATTTGGGACCGCGAGCTTGTTGTTCAGCTTAGTAAATGAGTTGCGTCGTGTTACAACCGTGAAGTTGACCGTTCGCGAACTTTAGTCATTCAACTTCTTGCAACTATTTCCGGTAGAATTCCGATTATGCTGCTCAAGTACACAGACATGTGGCTCCAGTTTCATTAGTTTAGTCCAACTGTAACCAACCAACGAGGATCCACTTGCACCTTCCCCGTGTTTTGTCTCCAACGTCGTTAGCGTCACTCGGTCTGCATGTTATACATATCTCCACTCTCTCTCTTTGTCTTCTCATTATTGGGCTGAATGGAAATTGCATACTTCCTTAATTGCTCCGTGTTGTATCTCGTGTTCTCGGACCAGAAAGCTCCTTGAACTGCTAGCTTTATGGGTTCCTGGTGGACGGATAGGAGCAGGCAAAAGGTAACCGAGACAGATTGAGTTCATTAGCAAATGGAGATACTTGCAACCTTTCCGAGGGAACTTATACCACATTTGAATCAAGGGTTATTTCGTCAAGTTGTAATGAGCATTTGGTGGAAACATTTCTCGCTCTGATTATTTCTTTGAGACAAAGCCAATGAAAGTTATTTGTATCAGTGATTGGTCGA